GAGAGAGAGAGAGAGAGAGAGAGAGAGAGAGAGAGAGAGAGAGAGAGAGAGAGAGAAACGCTGCTTCATCCTCACCGTAGCCATCATTGGGACACGGAAGACCAGGAGAAAAACCTTCCGACGGGCTGGTCTTGGAGACGGCCACAGCCACGCCTGCAATCCGGGAGCTGCCCTTCAGCTTCATCATCACCGGTCTGTTAAAAGAACCACCTTGGGGTTATTATATATATATGTTCATTTAGGGGTCATTCAACAACAGAACTGGGGGGAAAGTGAGTTCTGCGGGGGGGGGGGGGGCTATTGGGGGCTCCCCCCCCCCCCCCCCCCCCGCCCCTCCCAGGAGTCCCCCGTGGCCGGTTTTGGATCCCAGGGAATTGCAGGGCCTGTGGGGAGGGTCAGGGAGGGCGAAAAATGGGCCCGTTTCCGGCCTCTGGAACCCGGGGAGGCCGTTTTTGCTGTCCCGGAGGCTCGAGGAAAGCCTCCAGAGCCCGGGGAGGGTGAAAACGCCACACACACACCCCGCCATGGTGCAGGAGGCCGACTAGGCCACGCCCACCACGGCCACACCCACCCGGCCACCAGGCAGAGAACCTGTTGCTAAAATTTTTGAAGCCCACACCCCTGGACTTACGACTGTTTTTCCAAGTTAAACACCTTTTGCAACATCCTTTATCAAAATTCAGGGACTTGTGAACTGACTCGTTTTCATGACGGTCGCAGTGTCCTCGGGGGTCATGTGATTTCCCTTGTCAAGCCCACAACTGACATATGCGTAGCCCTTTTATTTAGCCTTATTATAAATTCCTTTTCCTTTTTTTCTCTTTTATGGGGGGGGGGGGGGGGAAGGTTTCGGGCTTGCCACATTCCTAAGGTGGGAGGAGCGGAGATAGAGAGAGTTGTTTTGGCTAGGTGGTTCTCCTTCCCGTGGGAACGAAAGCTGACCCTGCTGAGACTTGGAGGTGGAGACTGATGACGCCAGGCAAACGTTGATTTACTTCTATTGGGGAATGTGACTTTTGGGGGCTGTTTCTAACTTCCAATCTTATGTGGTGCAATTCCGGGTTGGGTCAGATCCGGAATGACAAACAGACTTTGCCAGTTTGATGCTTTACCTAAATAAAAGAAATTGTTATGGAAGTTGGACTTTGCTCTTTTCTTTTTAAATGGATTTCATCGCCTGGAAAGCTGACATTCTTATTTACAATCAAACGCTAGAAGAACACATCAAGTCCCTTTTGCGACCTTCTGTAAAGCAAGGTTCGCTTTACAACTGTGTTACTCACTTAACAACTTAACAGCAGCGGTGAGAAAAGCCATAAAATGGGGCCGAAAACTCACTTAAACAAGTGTCTCACCTAACAACAGAAACGTTGGGCTCAATTTGTGGCCATAACTCGAGGACCTCCTGTATTTAATGGCTACCATAGCGCCAAGGGGGTGAAATATAATCATGCAGGGTTGTTGCATGCTGGCTGGAGAATTCTGGGAATCTTAAAGCGGCCAAGTTTGGAGAGCTCTGGCATAAAGCAAGGACAACCTGTATCTTTAATGCTGCATCCCCAAAAAAGGGCAGCAGCTGAATTCAACTATTTAGCGACGCCAAGCCCAGATATTCATGGCTTGTATTCACACCAAAGTGGGGCAGAGAGAGCCTAGCTGGGAAAGCGAGAGAGTCCTCCGTTCATTTATCGCACGCGATTCTGGCTCATGTCTGCTTGGGAAAGTAGAAAAACACAAACAGAAGTCCTTCGACCAAAACAACAGGTGCTTAACACGATTAAGCCGTGTTTTTCTTTACGGCAAGTATCTCCTGGGACCACTGAAATCAAACGTGTTTGGTCACTGGGTAACAGAAGAGCATCTTGCCAGGGTCAAGGGTGACAATAAATTTACGTGTCCTAGAGTCAGTCAGGATTCCGGCCGTTACCCCCATTTAAATCATGAGTCTTGAGCCAAACTTCCAAAATGATTTATTGGGAGTTAACATGTCCGGAAACTGAGACACATCATTCATCGTCGCCCTTAACCCTGGATTTCCCCCCACCCCCTGGGTGTATCGTAATTCATATTCTCCAATGGGACGCCTCCATAGCCCAGAGTCATCAATCAGGCACTCCAGTTAGAATTTTGCGTGGCAGAAACTTCAGTCACCTGGTTACTATCTTTGAAAAACTATGTATGGAATGCACTTTCAATTTCCAAGCTGCCGCACTGTTCTTTCAAATCCCTTTCACCCCTCTCCCTTTCTATTGGCAACTCTAAAAAAGACCATAGAAATGTTTTATACATACATACACGTGTGTGTGTGTGTGTGTGTATGTATGTATATACACACACACACACACACACACACACACACGTATACGTTGTGGCTCCGAGTCCTGAGCCTGCATTCTTAGAGGAAGAGGATTCGGAAGATGATGAGGAGGAATTGGCAATGCCTTCCTCCCCAGGACCTTCCTCTCCGGCAGTGCCTTCCTCCCTGATTGTGCCTCAGGTGTCGGCAGATAACCGAGAGGGACAGCCTGAGGCTAATCAGGAGGAGGAGGAGCGCATATTGGAGCAGCCTTTGACAGAGAATCAAGCAGACGAATGCTGGCTTGATGCTAGGCAACGTCGCAGGCTGCAGCGCAGGAGGTGTGGACGAACGAGAGTGAGCTGAATTAGTGACACGCCCCACAGGGAATAAAAGTGGGTGTGTTTGCTCTGGGAACTTTGTACGGGACAACGTGTGACTTATTCAGAGGAGCTTCGGTGTATTCTGTGTTGTGAACAGCTTGTGTGATTTATATTCCTGTTTTCTTGTCGGACTTGGCAGACAGCGTGAGTGAGACTGCCAAGAACATTATCGGCTCAAAGAATTAACTCTATAATTACTGGATTTGCTTGCCTGTTTGTATTCAGTTGGAGTTTGGACTTCTCACCTCCTTTGTAAAGGTGAGACATAACACACACATATATACATACATACATATATATATATACACACACACACACACACACACAAAATGAGTTGACACAGACTCTGCAGATTCAGGAAAAAGAAGGAAATCCTTTCTTCCCCAGAATGTTTTTTTTTTGGGGGGGGGGGGGAGAGAAAGAGGGAAATTCCCACTTACCCTGTAAAAAGCTTTCCATCCAGCAGTACCATGTAAGGGGAGTGTCGACCATCTGACAGCACCCACTTCAGGTCCGACTCCTTCTCTACCACGTGAATGACCCCGGTGTCTCCAAACATAGAGGCTGTGGAGGACAGAGAGGCCGTGTCGGGTGTGACTCAAACGTTGACAGTGTCGCTCCCCCTCAATCAGAAGGGGAACTGGCGGGGGGGGGGGGGGGCGGCGGCCTGGGCAGGTCCCAAGTGGGACGTATGTTCAGGTTTCAGCAAATGAACATGAAAGACAGGGTGGGTCCTTCTAAGGGCTTTTGGCATTTGTGGTTGCGCTCACCACTCCTTATCACCCATCCCCTCCTACTTGTGACTGTGTGAATGTAACTTTGTCGCTTGTACCCTTACGATTTATATGGACTGTTTCCTAGTATGATTTGATTGTTTATTGTATCCTATGACTATCATTAACTGTTGTACCTTTTGCCTCTTGACGAATGTCTTTTCTTTTATGTATACTGAGAGCATTTGCACCAAGTGCGTCCAATCACACTTGGCCAATAAAGAATTCTATTCTCTATCCTATTCTTCTATTTGATTCCCTATTCTATTCTATTCTTCTATTTGATTCTATTCTATTCTTCTATTTGATTCTATTCTATTCTTCTACTTGATTCTATTCTATTCTTCTATTTGATTCCCTATTCTATTCTATTCTTCTATTTGATTCTATTCTATTCTTCTATTTGATTCTCTATTCTATTCTATTCTTCTATTTGATTCTATTCTATTCTTCTATTTGATTCTCTATTCTATTCTATTATTCTATTTGATTCTATTCTATTCTATTCTTCTACTTGATTCTATTCTATTCTATTCTATTTGATTCCCTATTCTATTCTATTCTATTCTATTATTCCACAGCAACAGGATTCACAACCCGTACAATTGGGAAAGGTCCCATATTTTTTTTAGATTTCTGGGTTGTTTATAAATACTAAGTGGACAAAACTTCCTTACCCACTTGGTATGGTTTTTGTGGAGCTCTTTGGTGTTTTTTTTTCTGCTTGTTTTTTTATGAGCTTGATGAGCATCATCTAACGCTTTACAGGTAACCGGCCAGGTAAGCTGGAGTTGGGTGATCTACTCTGTCAGTGATGGAACACCTGGTTTCTCCTGGGATGGGTACAAAATCCTGACCTGTAGCTGCCTTGAACAGGGTGAAACCAGTGCCCCTGTGAACAGAATTATTGTAAGCCACCTCTGCAAAATAGGTCAGACCTGACAGGCCGAGGACATTTGGGGTGGGGAGGGCACGAATTACACACCCCACACCCACAACCAGCAGCCTCTGAACAAGGAGACCCCTCCTTCCAGAACAAGTTTTATAGCACCCAGAGCCCTTTCACAATGGAGAGGCCCCTTCTCAGGCTCCTGCAAGGTCAGGGCACTCATTCATGCATCTCTAAATGGCAACCATTGGCCAATGGCATTCTCCCCAAACTTGGCCATTGGTCCCCATTTAGGGGCGAAGGATAGAATAGCCTTTAAGCTTCTGCAGATATTAAAACGCCCATTTTATTCATGAATAAAAGCCCAGGAAATGAACCACAGTTGTTGATGCTACCCTTTTTATTGATGTGACACTGTCCCAGCTATAACCCAATTACCCTCTGAGCCCTTGAAGGGTGTAATAAAGACTAGTTTTGCCCAGCCCTAAACAATACAGTATCTTGAAGACTTTGGGTATGACCTCTCTAGCTCCATTCCAGAGGTGGGTCTTCAGCCGGTTCTGACCAGTTCTGGAGAACCGGTAGTGGGAATTTTGAGTAGTTCGGAGAACCGGCAAATCCCGCCTCTGACTGGCCCCGCCAGCCCCATCTCTTCTCTGCCTCCCATTGAGTCCCAGCTGATCGGCTGGGTCTCCTTTGGTTGTCCTGCGCAGGAGAATGGAGCTGGAAAGCAGGTCAGTGGGGTGGGGAGGGAAGGGGGATTTTGCAGTACCCTTTCCCCTGCCACGCCCACCAAGCCACGCCCACAGAACTGGTAGTAAATATTCAGTTACAACGGCACTGAAAAAAGTGACCGATGATCGTTTTCCACACTTATGGCCATTGCAGCATCCCCGTGGGATTCCAAATTCCAACGCTTGACGGCAAGTGGTTCATACTTATGACGGTCGCCGTATCCCAGTCACGTGATTTCCTTTTTGCAAAGTCAATAGGGAAGCCAGATTCACTCAACAACCAGGTCACTGTCTTAACAAATGCAGCAGTTCACTTAGCAACTCTGGTTGAAAAAAATGGAAGCATTATTGTTCTACGTTGCCTCTGTGTTTTGGAACTCTGTTGGCATGACGTAGAGCAGTTGGTCTCCAACCTTGGCAACTTTAAGACTTGTAGACTTGAACTCCCAGAATTCCTCAGCCAGCAAAGCCAGGAATTCTGGGAGTTGAAGTCCACATGCCTTAAAGTTGCTAAGGTTGGAGACCCCTGACATAGAGGGCTCTAGGGACCATCAAAAAGGGTTTGGAGCTGCAGGTAGCTTACCTGTGGCCCATACCTGCCTTGCCTATTTCCTAGACGTGAGTTGCTGGCAGTGCGCCCCCCCCCTCCCAAGGAAATACTCCTTCAACACAGCACTCACACTGGCAGCCTATTTGATGAGTGGCATTCAGGAGACGGACACAGGTGGCTGTTCTATTCAGCGGGATGTAGATTTTCTTCTCCACAGAGTTACACCGGCCTGAACCTGCATAAAAAATGACAAGATTTAATAGGATTTTTAAAAATTTATTTAGCAAAAAAAAAAGTGCCTAGAAAAGAGGAATATCCTGCTCTGGTGCTGGCAAGGCAGACCAGATTGACCAAGTGTTCATGCAAGCTTGGTGGATTTCAACGGCCAGAATTTACAACCACTGAATACAAAGTCCAATGCCTAGCCTTAGGCCCAACCTCCATTCCTTATAGACTTTGAAGCAAGAAGGGTGGAAGGAAAGATCCAGGCCAGGGGTGGGAATACGACAGCCATGTAAATGAAAACATTAACAGCACAAATCATTTAGGCGCACTCATTTGGATAAGGCTTTAAGTCAACCATTAAGCAGAACCTGAAATCTTGTTTCATAACCCTCCAGCTCCAAATTGAGCAATAAAGATTTCTGAGATTTTGCCCATTTGGAGGCATAAAACTAGAACTGAACCAGAGGGGATAAATTCTTCCCTGCAAATGTCCTCCATGACCAAATAACCTATATCAAAACAACTAAGTCCAGTACAAATACCTCAAGTTGTGCAAGTTGTAACTGATACCAGCTGACTTTTCCTCATTATTTACATTCTACTTAGAGTATTAAGTACAAGTATTAAGACTCGCTATTAACATTCTACTTTCAGAATGGCTATCTTTTTACCAAAAAAAGAAAGCTAAACTTCAGTCTGTTACCAAGCTACAAGTTTGTGCTCAACCAATCGTCCTTTATCTTCCTCCCAAAACAAAAGGAATTTCAGAATACTTTACTAAGATACTGAAGCTAGGAAATCTCTCTCCCTCTGCCCCGTTTCTATTTATCATCATAAACAGTCATCATCACATCCATATTACATCATAGTAAATGCCCGGGAACAAAGGATACGATACAATAATAAAAATCATGTTTAAAAGATGCTAGGTAAATTTAGTCCATGTTTATAAACTCAGCAAAAGTCCACCTATTGCAAAGAGACCATTCTTGCAAATAAAACAGCAAACCTGGAGCCCCAAAGCAAAAACAAATAAATAAAATAAAATGAGGAGGGGCCATTGCTAAAGACCACTATTTTTATCCCATCTTTATTAGTTTATAAGTAACTCAAGGCAGCGAACCTACGGCAGAGAATACTCTTTTGTCCTCCTCCTTTCTCAGCAATATAACAATGACCCTGTGAGGTGGGCTGGGTTGAGAGCGTGTATCAGACTCAAGCTTTCATGCCTAAGGCAGAACTATAACTCGCCATCTCCAAGTTTCTAGGCAGGCACGTGACCAACCAGAAGTATCAGAACCATTACACGCAGCTTCAACTTGCACTTGAGAAAGTGACGGCCCAGCCTGGGTCACAAAGCGGGCCCTGCATGGAGATGCCACCCAAAGCCAAAGCATCCCAGGTTGGGCATAACGCTGCACTCCATCGAGTCCCCCATAGACCTTTGCTGTCCCTCAGATACCCAAAACCTACGTGTCTTTCTGAAGTTTCCATACAGCTCACTTCAACTGGCACCCTCCTCAGCAGTTGGGACTCCAGCTCGGCTAATCCCAAAAAGCACAAATCCAGGCTCTCTTCTATTGAGATTCTTGAAAGCCCAACATCGGTAAAGACTCCAGATCCCGTCAGCCTGGATGGAAGTGCCTTATCTTTGTACGAAGCCCTGGGGAGGGTCTAATTTTTGACTCATCTATCATCTCTAAAACCTCTCTAACACCTATCCATATCTACCATGTTTCTCATATAATAAGGCCGGGTCTTATTTTTTTTTGAGCCCCAAAAAAATGGCTAAGCCGTCTTTTCGGGGGTGACTTAATCCCCCCCCTGCATCTTCGGGCGGGCGAGCGGCGATGGCTTGGATGTTGACCTCGGCATTGGTGGGGCACTTCTTATCGGGGTCAACGCAGGCAGCACCATATCCGGGTGTGCCACAAAAGTACTTCCTAACAGCAAGCCCCCCCACCATTCCCCCCCATTTTGCATGTTTTAATATAGGCCTTAATTTGGGGGGAGGGGCTTAATTTCATTTCATGCCTATAAAACATGCTGGGACTTCCTATTGGGGGAGGCCATATTGTTGGAGAAACAGGGTATCTATCCGTATCTATCTGCATATCTGTATGTATCTGTCTGTCTATCTGTCTATCTATATCTATCTACAGTATCTATCTAGTTTCTGTATCTAGCTACCTATCTGTATCTGTATCTGTATCTGTATCTGTATCTGTATCTGTATCTATCTATCTATCTATCTATCTATCTATCTATCTATCTTCCTATCTACTCATCTATCATCTCTGAAACCTCTAACACTTATCCATATCTATCTATCCATATCTATCTGTATGCCTGTATCTATCTTAGTTGTCTATTATGTATAATCTATTATGTACCATCTATGTATCTATCAGTTATCAATTATCTATTTACCAAATCTATCCATCTGGCTATCTTCCTAACTAGCTATCCCTATCACCTTTTTATCTCTCAGGTTATCTACATATCACCCGTCTATTATCTACCTTCTATCTATCCACCCATTTTCTTTCTATCTATCCAGCCAGCCAGCCATCACTCTTATCCCATCTTATTAACTTTATAAGTGCCTGAAGGTGTAAAACAGGGGTGTCCAACCTTGGCAACTTTAAGCCTGGAGGACTTCAACTCCCAGAATTCCCCAGCCAGCAAA